GTGAGGATAATAGCTCATCTTATATAATAAAATGATAAGCTCATATGCATAATATCAATAGAAAACAAACATCATAAAATGATACAAGTGATTAAAGGAAAATAGATAATAGGTCAGTCAATTTCAAATTAATTATGGCCTAGTTGTTAGGCTTTGGCAAGACACAATCTGCAACAACCTAGTATGGGAGAGAAAAAACCAGATTCCAGTGGAGAAAAAAAGTTTATCCATCTAAATTAAGTATTGAATTAATAGCTGGAAAAATTTTTGAAAATTATTTTGAAGGTTTTCTATCCAGATAGCTAGAAGGTAATAATAATTGATTGTATCAGAAGCGGTTTTGTGGAGATTGTAGTAATTTCAATAGTTCAGATCATGAGTCAATTGAAGCTAAATCATCATGGAAAATCTGGAAGCACTGAAAGGCCGTTTCGTCCTATTGTGCGACTACTCAGCAGTGCACATCCTTGACCCCGCCTCGTGGGATTCGAACCCAGGACCTATAAGTCTCGCGCCTAACCACCGTCCAGTGCTTCCAGGTTTTCCATGGTGGTCTAGCTTCAATTGACTCATGATCTCAACTATTGAAATAAATGATTGTCTTATGATCTTTAGTTCAGTATCTGATTCTTTATTATTGTTATTTTGTTATAATTCATAAATAAATCATAATCATATCAATTATTTTATAAAAGAACGATTGTTTTATTTTTCCCATGATGTTATGTTTGAAGCGATTACGAGTTCACCTAGTCTACGAACGTAACAAAGACTATGACCATAGACCAATAAGCTAGCTATTCTGATGATTCCCAGCTCCACTAACTAGAGAGAAATACAAGTTCAAAACTAGGAAATATATTCCGCAACCAGCCAGAAGCACGAGTAATCCTGACCCAGTCTAGTTGGAAATAAACTCATTTATATATTGGTTTGTACACTCATTTTTGATTAATAATCAGAATAAATCACATATATGAAAAACAATTCATACAAGAATATCATATATTATACAAAATAAAATGTCATAGGGAAAAACGGAACAAATACTATACTCGTGGTAAACAAGAACACGAGTGGGAAAAACTGAGGAATCGGACATAAATTTATTGAAAATCTCACTAAAATCTGACAACCATACAGTAAATAGTTAATTTGCAAACTTGGCTGTTCGTTTGGCAAATATCAGTCCATCATCTCAGATTTTATTGTTCATGCCTTTTCGTACAAATTGCTCTCCATGTCCGTTCTTTCTCTCTCAATCTTCCACTGAAACACATTATATATCTGACCGTCATTATATACTACTTATGTGAATATAAGTAGCTCACACCATATACTGATTACCAATTCAATTAAACGGAATTGATGTTGAATAAAAATCATGATTAAATCAATCTAATTTTGACTTTTCATCCCGTCATAACATCCCAAAGGATATACTTAGTTATTTCTTTTCTGAAATCTACTTAAGGAGGTTTCTAAATTGGGGTTACATGAATTGTCATTTTAGTATTTTAATAGATTGACCAAGTTATTATGAGAAAATTTATTTGGATTAAAATTAAACAGCATTTTAAAGTAATAAGTGGTTTTATAAACAAAGATGGATGGTTGTTAGCAGTTGAAATCCGGGACGCGCATTTCGTTCTATTTGGGACTGGTCAGCTGGATGTATATAAATCTCAGTGTTTATGTTCGGTTTAGGACTCGTACCCAGTACTATTCACTTCAAACTCCATCACGATATCCGCTTAGCTACTGAGTCCTGATAGTCACATGCTAGTGCAATGAAGTAAAGTTTGAATTCATTTGATATTCTTTAATTGAATGTTCATATAAATAAGACCGAAATCGTGTCCTGGATTCCACTGCTAGCCACTAAATATCTTTTTTTTTAATGCTTGTAAATTAAGGCTTTATCGAGGCAATAAATACAGCATGCAAATATGCCAATAAGAGATTGGTCAATTGCAGTCCTAAATCATCAATTAGAAGAATCAAGTAAACAATACCAATTGAAATAAATAAGTGATTTTGTTCCCTTCAATATTAAGGGATCATTCAGTTTCAGATAAACAAATCTATGAATTCTTAGTTTATATATTTGATTTCGAATAATGGTTGTTGAATGTCATTTTTCAAAGCGATGTTTCTACGATAATTCGAAAATTGTGTTATTGCTTTGATGATTATTTATGCTTTATACATTATTCTACTTATAAATTAACAAGTACACAAAATAAATCAACTACAAACTTCAACATCCAAGTGTAATCTATTTATGCTTGATACTTCTAATAAAGTTGCAGATGATAGGAAATTTAATCGAGACTAAATTACTCTAACTTCATTGATTTTTACTATGATCTTAAGCAAAGTTTAAATACTCAAATTTTCTAAGCTTATCGTTATGCTATGGCAATTGAAATTCGGTAGATATGAGATTGTGTTATAGAATTATACTTAAATCCCATGATTTATAATTTCTGAATATTTGTTTTAGACTTTTGCAATATATTGAGAAATTTTATAAACTTCCCTATATTTCAGGTTAATTGGTAAAAAAAAGTGGTTTAATCATTTGATAATTCAGGGTTTGATTAACTCTCTTCAGTATAGTCATAATTCATAAACTGGTTCTACAGATGTGATTTAAAAAGAAAAAAAAAACACTTTGATTTATGTCAAATTATGATTACATTTTATTGTAGTCTTTGTATATCTACGAATGTAAGATGTTAATTAGATAGATAAGTAAAGATGAAGTGTTGTTATCTAGTATAATGAAACTGAAACTACACTTTTTTTATAGTTTGCATCTCTGATTGACTTTTGTTAGACAACCATTGAAAACCATAAAATATTGGGCAACTCTCTCATCCTAGTATGAGAATCCCTATCATCGGTATTCCAATACCTTATTGAGAATTGAAAACAGACACGTATCCCTAATATAATGATTTACAAGTTTAACTATATTCTTTTCATTTTAAGCCATCTCTATCAGTGAATAATTCTATTCTGATGAGAATCAAGTAAATGAGTTGAAAAATCAAGAAAATCATTCATTTATTTATAAATTATTTATAAGTTACTGAAATGAATCAATATTTTCCATAGTTGAGTGATTTTTCAAATTTTAATGTCGTATAGTATAGTATTTTCTTTGTTCTGTTTTAGTATAGTTTTATTTATTTATCTGAACACATAAATGTTGGTACAAAGGGGCACCGAATACATATGTGCCACACATGTCACTTGATTTCTGTGCGAGCTGTGATACTTCCCGGGTGTCCAGATCGAACCAGGTGGTTGTCTTAATGTACTACACCTGGAGCCTTTGACCTAAAAGTCTGATTCACAGGGCGGTGAAGAAACGTCAGGAGATTCAGTCCCATTGTGACCAACAATTAGTTCATACGCCATTTGTTCCCTCAGGACACTGGAGGCCATGTGCACCATTGGTTTGGAATTAGGGTTTTCCGACTCCCCTAGATGAACCCTCCGTATCCACTAACCCGATTAAAGCGCCGGACATTCGCTTTTTGTTCTCTCAACAACAGTAATGCCTCGAGAAGGCAGTGAGTAGGAGATCCCTGGCAGTGGTTGTATGCACGTGGCCATGTGAGAGTATTTCGAGAGGGAGAGCTGACTCTCTCCACCATCGGCCTTACCAGGGCATTCGAGGGCAGCACAGTAAAATAAATTAATAATCTATTCACACTGTGATATGAATCATGTTGATTATTAGAAAATAATATTTACAAGATCATAATATGTGTAATAGAAAAAAAGATGATTATGTAATTTAATTACTCAATCAATCATTAGTTTAACTAATGTTTTTAGGGTGAATTTAAAATATTCTGTTTCTTTTTCTTGTCATTTACCGGTAATATCAATTTCATATATATATATATATATATATATATATATATATATATATATATATATATATATATATATATATATATATATATATATATATATATATATATATATATATCTGTGTGTGTGAAATAGGAAGTAATATTAAAATTAACGGATAATTATTGTTACCATGTTAATTATGATTTATATGTATTGAAATAAGTTTCAAAATTTTGTCTTATCAGTTGATATCAATCTATGATATAAGTCATCTTTTAACAATAAATATTGACTCATTATTCAGAATAACTAATATAATTGAGTGAAGTTGAACGCATACACCAATGAATTTCTAGCTCAGTAGTCTAGAAGTTATGAATTCAAACATGAGGTTGTTGGGGTATTCAGACGGACCGCGGGTAAACTCGAGGAAGCTATAAGAGGCTCAGAAGGAGCCGAAGATATTCCAGCCAATCACCGTTAGCAAGAATATTCTAGAATCCCTACGTGTAGCTTCCCGATTGGACAAGGCTAATAACCCCCTGTATGCGGATTGGAGGACTATAATGATGATTTTTGTTCTTACTAAAACTATAAATACCTGACAATTTGTACCCATAATTGACACTGTTTGGAATAACATTCCTTTCACTAGTCTTCTGTCTTCTCTTTGCGACTTGGAAGGGTTTGGGCGTTCGTGTGTTCAGTTGTACACGTTATAACAATTGGCGACGGGGTAGAAAAAAATTTCTGAACCCTCAATCTTCAACGTTGACCTGTAATTGGAGGAGATTCAGTCTAATTATTTCGAGCAATCAGCATTCAATTTTGTCATCGGCGTCCTTGAAAGACATTGGTTGTTAATTAATCATACAACATTTCTCATCACCGTGCTGATTCAGGAAATGGCTATCTGTCCCGATCAATTACAATTGCTATTTGAGCGACAAACGCAGCGGTTCAAAAATAGCCAGCTGAATGTTTTAGACAATTTACGTACAAGGCTGCTAAATCATCCATGTTTTGGAGATGTTACAGAAGTTGATAAATTAATTTCTAATTTGCATACCGAGCTGGAAATTGACTGCAGTACATTTGAATGTGTTGATAAAAGCCTCTATGAATCCTTGATGAGCAGTAATGTAAGTGAAGCAGTCATTCATGATCCGCCCAGTGATCCAGAAATGTCCACTCCAAAAACATGCCCAGTAATGGATCCAAACCCCATTATCATTGAAACAGCATGTACAGACAGTGATGTATCCAGCTCACAAAAGGACGCCCTGCTAAATGTCCATGTAAGTGTCGCAGTAACCGCCCATGAAACAGAAAACAAATCGTGCAGTACACTGAATGCAGCTGCACCAAATGAAGCTCATCATTCCGCGATAGAAGTTCCTGACGAATCTAATCGCGATTCCCTTGATTTGCCAGAAAATATGTCATATGTGTCAAATAATGATCAACAACCTGATTCCGTTTTGATGGACGCTGATTTTCATAGCGATCCACTATCTACTAGTGATATTCTTGATAAATTTGATGATAATCTTTTCGAAGAATCAAAACACGATGACCTCATGTCAAGCGTCATTCACCCTCACCACTTAGTCATGCTCAGTCGATTTCTTGTGCGCTGCGACAAATATATTTTAATTAAAGTCAGATCAATTGTATTTTGGGTATATGAGGACCCAACATTGTTTCGTGGGGGAGGATGGACCCGAGAAACTTATATTCCGGATATCAGGTCCGGGTCTTCAAAGAAGGGGAGGTGTTGGGGTATTCAGAAAATACCCCAGAAATTATCTAATGCTATTCCTGAATGAGAAGTAGTGTCATTTCCCCATTGGTCAACATTCTTCCAACGTGTCATCTCCTTATTGGTCAATATTTATTTGTGTCATTTCCTGAAGGTTAAATCTTGTACAATGTTACTTTCTATTTATGGTACGATGTAGTCTGTTTGTTTGGTATATAAACAGTGTATGTTTGAAATATAACGATTCATATCTCCGAGGTTGAGACTTGTGTTCTGGACTCAATTGGCTGGGCTAGACAGGGAAGCAGGACCAATCAGAGCTCTAGGCTGCTCGGTCGTATTTTGTGCGTCACTGTTTCGATCGATAATAGGCTGCTCTCTAATAGGCGGATCACACGTTATAACAGAGGTCAATAAGCTTGAGTTTGATTCTCTGTAGTAGAGTTATGGATGAAGCCAAATACTAGTATGAAATAGCAATCTGGTGCTTTTTAATTTTTTTTTAAAGAATGTCTAATATAGATCGATTTTTGACATAAATAATCTCGACTAACCTGTATACTGATAATAAGTAAAATAAATTTATACTTTTATATTCATCCTTTATTATTTTATCTCTTAGAATATTGGATTTAGTCCATATTTGAATGCAATTACAGCTAATGGAATGACAAGTTTACATGGTGTTCCAAATTTACCGACACATATATCAACTAACACACCACGTCATCTACTTAATACTAACAATACAATAAATGGTTTGTCAAATAAACGATCTAGTCTACCAGATACTAAAACTGATTTTTCATCAATTTATACTCCATGTGGAATAGTAACACAAGTAAATGGATGTAAATTAAATTCACAAAATGATCATCATAGTCATCATCATCATCAACAAAATCAACATCATCATAATCATCATCACAAGTTGAATGGATCAACAGGATTAATAAATGGAACTAGTAATGAAACAGGAAATATTAAAGAACATAGTCAATCACCTGGAATACGTGTTACTTCTGCTGTATCAAATACTAATAATTGTGTTGGAATTGGGACTGCTACTGGTTGTAATAGTAACGGTGGGGGTAGTTCAGGGAGTAATTGTACCAATGGAAATAATAATAATACAATGAATGCAACAGCAGCGGCAGCCGCAGCTGCGGCGGCAGCATTTTTCAGCTTACAACAACAGTCACAACAGCAAAATTCCATCGGTTTGGGTTTACCACCTCCACAGCCAGCACCACCATCAGCAGCGGCAGGAGCACATGGGAATCCAATTCCATTGACAGCGGCATCATTAGCCGCAGCTGCGTCGTTAGCAGCTGCGGCTGCAGCGGCGAATCGAGTTATTGGACCGCATAATACATTGTCATCACATTTTCCTGTTGCATTACCCGATCATACAGGTTATTTTCAAACTCCTTGTAAGTGATTATTAAAAGATAAATAATATTATGGTATAGATTTTAATTTTATACCAAAGTTAAAGTAGGGTAATAAATTAGTCATTGATATTACGTGATAACCTGTTATAGAATATCTGTCGGCTGAAGCTTTCATACACCTTAAAGTTAGAATAACTAGTAATATATAAACTGGATAAGAAACAGTGTGTGGAAATAATCTTGATCATAGTGATATGCTAAATATGTACTCAGTAGTGAGCGACCTTGAGAGGGATTTACAAATTTCAATTGAGGTGCTATAATCGATGGAATTTCAACTATCTTTAACGTGAGACAGATATCAAAGATGACAGTAGGTGTTAGTTATCCAACATCATGAAGTTACTGATATTGGGAATATTTGTCATACTTTCATTGTACATCTTAAAGTCCCTATATTCGATTCATAACGAGGTATTAGCAGCGCACGGTTGAGGACTTCAGTATTAAAACGAAACGGGTGTCTCATGTTTCCCGATGTTCAATAGTTATCTCGATAAAATTATTTTGTGGTGTAAATTACAGATCAAAAATAAAACATTTTGAAAGGAATAAATGAGGTCGAAAAATACAAATTAGGGGATGACACTAAACCCAAAATCTGAAATGAAATTCGGGATTAATGAAACCACACCATTGTGATTGATTTAAGACCACTAAATCCAATATTGATTAAAGATCGTGTATTTCATTTTATGAGAATGTTGAGTATTGATATCGAAAGTAAATATTATATTTCATAGAATAGTTAATCAATGCCAATCTATGCTATTCCTTATATTAAGAGTTCAGCATAAATATTTACATCAAATCATAATTAAAACTCTACTATGAGGTTTTAATCAAAATTATTACATTGATATAGAGATATTCGGCAGTAAAAGCTTTCGGTATGAGTGAAACACTTTAATCTCAACAAAGTTGAACGGGCCTAAAAGTCGTTATTATCTGTTATGACTTACTTACGCATGTTACACCTCGTGGAGGAGCACAGGCCGTCCACCAGCGCTTTCCATCCAACCATGTCCTGAGCAATCATTTTCCAGTTCCTTTCCAGTTGTTATTCATCCTTTTCATATCTGTTTCTATTTCCCGATGTAATATGTTCTTTGGCCTTCCCCTTATCCGTTTCCCTTCAGGATTCAAAGTTAGGGTTTGTCTCCTGATGTAGTTCGGTGACTTCCGCAATTTATGTCCTATCCACTTCCAACGTCTTTTCCTAATTTTCTCTTCATCTGGAAGATGGTTTGTACATAAATATATATCTTTCGCGATTTTAGAAGAGTCGTTTAATTTACATGTTATTCTTCTTAGCATCTATGAATTAAAATGTATTTAAAAATCAAGAAAATGTATAAGTTCAGTGATAGTTGAATTCATTTCAATCATTATCTCAGTTACGATAACTAATAATTAAGTTGTTAAAGCTGAATATTGAGAGCTTGTGACTTTGATTTTTTATTTAACATCGAAACGATCAGTATTCGATTAAACTTGATTCTAGACAAAAACCATTGAGATATGATAGGAATTTCACTACAAGATTGGTTTAGATACGGGAATTAAATGTTATTCAAATGATAATCGTGAACCCTATGGTCTTCTATAAGAGTTCCAAATATACATATGTATATTGATAGTTTCTAAAACATTCGTTCGTGTTATTATTTATTGTCTGAAGTATATGGACTGGTTTATCAATGGGAGAAAAGTAAGTGACATTTAGTTGCAAGAAGTGAATCAATTGTACTAAATGATTTATACTATTGTGACTATTTATGAGAATTTCTAAAACGGAACAAACTTGCTAAACTGTAGTTTCTAAAAAAGAAATTACAGCAGGTTATTATCCTAATTAAGTTGACATAAAATCTCTCGGAAGTAACCAACAATAATACTTATATTTTACAGACTATGAATGGTTATATGTGAAAGAATATTGGTTGTTTTATGACCTTCATTTGCATTGTTCGAAATACATTTATTGTTGTCAATAAGGGGTTGTAGAGGTTATTGAATTTCATCCAAATCATGAACCGATCGAAGTAAAACAACCATTGAAAATCTGAAAGTATTGGACAGCCATTTCATCCTAGTATAGGACTTCTCAGCAATGTCGCATCCATGATCCCACAACCTTACGTCTCGCGCCCAAACGTTGTCTAGAGATTCTAGGCCTCCAATGGTAGTTTAAATTAGATCGGTTTATGATTTCAACCAAATCTTATCGATTGTGAATAAGTGTACAAAAATTTTCTTATTTGAAATAAACCATTTTATTATTCACTTGATATTGTTTTACTTGAATCTTCCCACTGACGTTTAGGACTGCAATTGATCAGTCTCTTATTGGCATATGTGCATACTGTGCGTATTACCTCGATATTGCCTTTATTTACAAGCATTATAATCAAAGATGGATAGTAGCTAGCAGTGGAATCCAGGACGTGCGTTTCGTCTTATTTGGGACTCGTCAGCTAATAAGAGACTGATCAATTGCAGTCCTAAACATCAATGGGAAGATTTAAGTAAAACAATATCAGGTGAATTAAAATTCACCCCATTGCACAAGCAAGTGGTTATCAGGACTCAGTAGCTAAGTGGATAATGCGATGGCGTTTGAAGCGGACGGTACTGGGTTCGAGTTCCAGAGTGATCATCAACTCTGAGATGCAGGTACATCCAGCTGACGAGTCCTAAATAGGATGAAATGCGCGTCCTGGATTCCACTGCTAGCCACTATCCATCTTTGCTTACATTTTATTATTATTGAAACAATAAGATTAAATTGTTCATTAATAATCATTTTATAGTTCAAATAAATAAAGAGATATGACAGAGAAACGGAGAAATTTGTCACCTTTATAGAGGTAGAGCAATGATAAGTTTGATAATCATCATTAGTACAACGAATAATATTAATAATAACAGTAGTAGTTATAGAAATCTTATTTATCACACTGATAGTTGGGGAAACAAGGAGTGCACGTACTTTTCCCATATGTATCTGTGTGAACTTGTATGACCAAGATCTTTGATCTCGCACACGAGCGCTTAACATCTAGACCATTGAGCTCACATCCAATGGTGTTAATTTCTAACTTCAACCAATCAAGGACATTGCGTCTTCGATGAGTATTTGCCAAATACCTGACACGGATTAGCTCTACCAGTCATGGATTCTCACTAGAACTCTGATAATTTCCTCTCGAATTAAGTCACTAGTGAGCACATGATAATTGGCGAATTGGAAATGGTAGGACCACTGAATTTCACTGAAACCCTAGACCAATTCATAGGTCAAGTGTTCGTGTCCGGAACCAAGTTCCTGAGTTCGATCTCCGCTTGAAGGGTCATGAATGCTCATTTTAAGGTGTTCTATATCAGGAAAAAACGGCCATCTAGTGCTTTTAGGTTTTCAGTGGTGATCTTACTTAGATCGATCCATGATATACTTTTTTTAACTGATGAGTGGTAATTCATAGTTATACTATCCGGGTTGAATACCTTGTATACAAATAAAAATTGACATTAGCATACTAAGTCATTTGGTTAAGATTCGTAAAATAACTCTCAATTAGGAAATTATTAGTTTGCTCCCATCGTTCGTTTCAGTATTTTATCGAACTAATAAAGTTGTAACATGTACGATTTCTCTGTAATTTATAATTAACAATAATTCTTTTCCCTTATTTCTTATAGATCATATTGAAATACCATCATTTTCTTACCAATAATGAGTTTCAAAAAACAAACAAACAATTAAAATGATAAAAAAAATACATTTTTGAAAATCCCATCATTTTACAGTTGATTGTTAATCAATTAAAACAAACAATATTCACTAAAGATCCATAAAAGGTCGTTAATAC